TGTATATGTAGAGGTTACCAGATGTGCATCTTGAGACAAAACAAAGGCACTGATATATTTTAACATCAGTCAGTGCAAGTTTCTTTCAGTTGAAACAGCTCAGATTTACATTTTAGTCTGGGACTAAGTTTAAGCCTTGTCTGTGAAACCGGGGGTTAATGTACGTACTATATCACAGAATAATATAAAAATGTAATATGATCAAGTGTGTAACAAGACAGATTGATGGCAACAAAAGGTGTTATCAGTCTACCTATTTGGATGGTAACATAATGATACAAACATGTTTAAAGGGATCTGTGTTTTTTTAATTGTTCAAGGGCTTAAAGAAACCAGGTGTGTGTATGAATCAGCAGAGCTGAATGAGTGTGCTTAGACGGCCTACTTTCATGACCAGCCTTCTGGTGTCTCTGTCCCTTTGCGAGTTATCATAAATATTTGTTTTATTCAGCTGCAACATGTCTCTTTGCCAGATTAAACACACACACACACACACACCACTAAAATGAGCTTCAGCAGTAATTTAATTTCACATTTTTCAGTCTTAGTACAACACCTGTCACCTGTATGGCTATAATGTTCAAATGCATGCACAGATGTGTTTGCAGAAATATAACAGGTATATCTTCCTAACAAAACACCTGTTGTCTTTGGATTTGGTGAATTGTTGTAAACATGAGGAGATCATAGTGCATTCACTGTTTATTTGCTGCAAATGTGAACACTGATCCAGAATGGTGATAGTTATGTTTAAATATGAGAGAATGTTTGTTCTGAACATTAGCGCACACTGAAATTAGAGGATCTCACCACCCTCTCTCTTTCGCAGTGCAGAAACAATCTTCCGCTCAGTCACCCTGCAGCAGCCCACAAGTCACAGCTGTGAAAAATCAGGATAGTGCAAAAAGCCTTTTCTGTAAGCCTTGGAGTCGCTGTGATCACGACAAGCTCAGAACACCATCAGTAATGATTACAACACCACACATATATGTGAAATATGGTCCATATAGATCATCTTCCCCTTAGATAGATGGATGGTAGGACAGATGGATGATTGGACATCCGGATGGTAACTGGTTTCTACATCCCATGGTAGATAGATAGATAGATGGATGGATGGATGGATGGATGGATGGATGGACAGATGGATGATTGGACATCTGGATGGTAAGTGGTTTCTACATCCCATGATAGATAGATAGATAGATAGATAGATAGATGGATGGATGGATGGTAGGACAGATGGATGATTGGACATCCGGATGGTAAGTGGTTTCTACATCCCATGATAGATAGATAGATAGATAGATAGATAGATGATGGATGGATGGATGGATGGATGGATGGTAGGACAGATGGATGGTAAGTGGTTTCTACATCCCATGATAGATAAATAGATAGATAGATAGACAGATAGATAGATAGATAGATAGATAGA